ATGGTATTTAAATTCCAGTCAGATTAAAGTCGTCCTTGAAATACTGGTGAAGGCTTCATAATTGCCCGTTTTCAATTAACCAGCCATACATTTGGAATCCATCTTATACATACGTTTATAGAAACCCTCATAGAAAGATATTTCGTAAAAGCACTTACTGAATAAATGAGTTTTTGGATATTCTTTCTAATGTAGACGGTCGTTTGTATCATATTTTTAGATATCCCTAAATATAAAACTCATTTCGAAGACAAATGAGCGTGTACAAAAAAACGGCAATTAATATAACTAAGATTAAATAATAAACTTCCTTCGGTTATTAACCTGTTATGCAAATGCCTTATTTAGATAATGAACTAACGAATATATGCCTACTTACCTAACTTCTTTTACCGAATTAACTTTCTTTGTACATTTGTTTACTTTAAACCTGTTTTAATTTAAAATGCAAGATCGAAGGTGCCTTATTCGTCAGTAAAAGCCATTATAAGTCTCAAATCGGTTCTAAAAATCATAATAAAAGAATGAAACCTACGCTTATTGACTCGTTCAAATTTAAATCACAACATTGCATGACTTGATTCGTCTATTGTAAGAGGGGTACCGAAGTCGCAATATTTTCTAGGTCGACATTGGCATAACAGTCCTGTTCTATAAATAAGACAATCAGACAAAAAAAAAACGCTTTTTTCCATGACATCATTTTCCCCTTCTTCTCAACTGCATCACGGTACCAGAACTTCCTGTAAAATCCATTTCCCACAGCGATCACTTCCATCTACCTGGAGGCATTACGTTGGACACCAGGCGTTGCTGTGGCAGAAATGCAGTATCCCCCTTAATTTCCCATTCAAAACCAAATATATCTAGCTAAGTCCCAAGACTACGCGGACTAACCACGGATCTCGCTCACTTAAGAAAACATAATTGTGCACAGACATTTCCTACTGGACGCTTTCGAATTGCTTTCATCGTGCAAACAATAGAGCATCATTAGACAAAAACAGCATTAAAACTCGCCAATCCACTTTTAATCGATCCACTGGAGGTTCGGGGGATGCACAAGTTAATTAAAAAGTCTGTTGACAAAAATTACTTTTAAAAATCGAAAATTTGTAGCATAAGTAATCAACAAATATTGAATCAGTTCACGCGACCTCTAAAAACAGGCTCTTTTGGGGGCCGTTGAAGTCCTAAAAAAGGCTCTCCAGTAAGTTGACGCCCATGTGTCTGCTCGCAGATAAATATAGAGGCGCCCAACTCTATCAGCAGAAATAGGGGCTAGAATATCTTCTGGTTACTGGATTACTTCCCAATTCATTCGTTGATACATTTTTATCTGTCAAATCTGTCTGCGAAAAAAGACCCCCCATTAAGCCGGCTATTGCGTGTTTTGGTGATAGTCAAACCGAATTGACTTAAATGGGAAGCTCTTTGCTCGTTGCTGAATCAAAGAGTTGCTTGTTATTTTGAACGCCATCAGATACTTTCTCACCACGTTTCTTCCAACACTTTGTGACTTCACGCTCACGAAATATTGCATATAAAATGAGTGCTTGCTTCATTCAGCAGGTGGCTGAATCAAAAGTCAACTTACAAATTATCAGGCTGAAATTACGTTATTAAGCCATGGACTTCCAGCAAATTTAATGGAAAGGACGCCATAGACTTAAAATTTTGTAGCTGACGATGCTTTTGAAAGGGTATGCTGACTTGATACTGCATACAGGTAGGCATCCTTTTTTTGGTTATATGGACAAAACTGTTTTGTGAATGGGTCCCAATTATTCTGCATGAGACAATAGACATCTCCCTTGAAAGTTATCACAGCGTTCTTTGAATGCCCCTATGAAATTATGTTTTGACCCATTTGGGATACATTTGACTGCTTGCAATAGGGCTTCATAGCTCAGGTGGCTAGAACGCTCTCTGTACTGAAGCCTTTAGTTTGTTGTTATGGATTCGAATCCAATAGAGACCGCCAAACCTTTCAAAAGAGAATCAAATTAAAATCACTGAAGTTTTGTCCCACATTATTATAGGCACGCCATTTTAATCATTTTAGTCGACAGGTTGCGTG